TCTCACTACGTCCCCTCGGTTTGGGTTGATAGCAGTGTAAAACTCTTTCACCAAGGCCTGTGATACACGCGTAATTGGGGCAAACAACTCCCAACCATTCTCCACAAGCCTCCTCCTAACATATTCTAGCACTGATTCTTGGGTTTCATCAAAACCTCTCTCAAGGAGGATATCACGTGTTGTGAAGGTAGGCCTCCTCACCTCCAATCTCATCCTTTTTACTCTTGATGGTGTTTGTTCGGTAGAATCGGGCTCCTCTACATAGGCCTCCTCAAGTGGCTCTTTTGCCCCTCTTTACACCCTAGCCATCTTGGCTTTTTTAGATGGACCAGCCTCGGCTTCTTTTTGGGCAGCCAAACGTGCTACAGCGGCGCGGGTCCTAGGCCTAGAAATTGCGCCAGGCGCGATTTCTGCTAGCGCGATTTCTGCCACTTTTTTCTTCTTTTGCGTTTTCTTTACCAGTTTGGTCAAACTCACCTCCTCATCTGAAGTCTTTGTAGTAGCAACAAAGTATGGGTCAGAAACATTCAAACTCGATAAAGAAGGGGTCTTACCTTGTGAAGTAGAGGAAGATGATTTTGTCATGGCCTCACTAGGGGCATCCACAGGACCGGATGTTTCTTCTTGCTCTTTTGTAGGGGGCTCCTCATCAACTTGCTGAGATTCGTGCACCGGAGTTCGTACTCTCGCTTCATATTAAGAGATATCGTCATTGTCTTCCTCGTCCTCAAACTCATCTCCATGCATTTCTTGGGGTAATTCTCCAAAATCTTCATCTTCTCTATCAACATTCAATTGTTCATGTGCTGCCCCACTATTTCCATCATCCTCTAATGGATCCTCTCCCCTTGCTTCACTCAACGCTACCAAAATTTCGGCAATTTTCGACATTGTCCTTTCCTGTTCTAAATCATCAAATACTAGGGGCTTTTTAGTCAAGATAAGATCTGGAAAATATGGAGACAAAATACCTTGTAGAGTGGCCGGTGGAGTCTCATCCATAATTGCGCCACGTGCAATTTGGCATTGAATTTCGACCGTGGCCAAATCTGAATGCTCTAACGGCTTCATGTCGTGTTCTGAGTCTCAACTAACCTGTTTTTGACCTTCAACATGCACAGCAACAGTAGTGGAAAGAGGGGGAGGGATAGACTGTTCTAAAGACTCGGAAACGGGGTTATCTTGAGAAAGATTCATCCTACAACGTATACTCATGCTATTTAACTCAACTTGAATCTTCTCACTCACTTTCTTTGAGTTGTTCGTGAATTCTTGCCATTTTATGTTTAGTTCCTCAATTTTCGCATAAACCCTATCATTCTCGTTATCCTTAATTTCGTTGTTTTTACTGAACATCTCCGCCCTCTCTTGAACTCTAGTTATTTCTTCATCGAAAACAGCACCTTTTTCCTCTAAATATTGATTTTTTCGAAAATAAACTTTATTAACACTTCCTAATTTCTTTTCACTGGAACCTTCTTTATTAACCCTAGCATCATTAGATTCCATATTAATTTTTTCAGAATTTGTATCACCTATGGATAGATTTCTCCTAGGGTTTATTCTTATAGCTTCCTCATATTTTCTTCTTTGTTCCCTAGGATCAAAAACTAACTTTTCATGAGAAATCCTAGGAGGTTCAAGAGGAATCATACCCGGTTTGGTTGGTGGAGGCAACAACACTCTCTTCTTTTCCTTCTCTTTGTCGTTCGACTTGGAGGAAGATGAACCTTCCATGGTTCTTGAGTTTGCTTCACGATCGACAACGATAATCCCTCCAATAAACCCTAAAGGTGCCGAAAAAGAGAGAGATGAAAGTGATTTTGAGATTCTTTGAGATTTCTTGAGAGAAGATTTGAAAACAAGTGAGAAAATTGTGGTAAAAATCGTGAATGGGGTGTTTTCAAATCTTATGGCTTCTTGTTTTATATTTTAAAACCTATTAAAGACATAATTGGGTTTAAAATTGGGCCTCCTTTTGATTTAAAAACAACTCAAATCCCATTTAAACATAACCCACATAAAGCCCACGAAAGCCCTAACCATAACTAAAAAAAAATCGATTTTGTCTCTTAAATTGCGCCTGGCGTAATTTTGACGAGGATCGGATCTTGATCCTGCAAAATTCAAATGCAAAAACAAAAATTAGATCTGGAATCTACACAAAAAAGCCTTAAATAAAATGTAAAAATTTTGCAAAAAGAAGACGAAAAATATTTTACATAAAAATGTCCTCCAAATTGTCTGAGGGACTGTTTCCACTGTTTCCTCACGAGTCTTTCAGTATTACAGAGGTTTTACCTTTGTCAATATACTCGCCATAATATTTCTTGACCCGATGCCCATTTATCTTAAAGATATTACCTTTAGAACTCTTTAAATCCACCGCTCCATGTGGATAAACATGTTCAACTACGAATGTGCCTGACCATCTAGACTTAAGCTTACCTGGAAACAACTTTAATCTAGAGTTAAAAAGCAAAACTAAGTTTCCAGGTTCTAAATTCTTGTCCATTATCTTTTTATCATGCCACTTCTTAGTTTGTTCTTTGTACATCTTGACATTCTCATAAGAAAATTGACGAAATTCATCCAACTCATGCAACTGTAGCAATCTCGCTTCACCTACAGCAACATAATCAAAATGTAGTTTCCACGTAGCCCAATATGCTCTATGTTCTAATTCTAATGGAAGATGACATGCTTTACCAAAAACAATGCGATATGGGGACATGCCTAATGGAGTTTTATAAGCAATTATATACGCCCACAAAGCATCATAAAGTTTAATAGCCCAATCCTTCCTATTTACATTCACAGACTTCTCTAAAATTGACTTTATTGCCCTATTTAATACCTCTGCTAGTCCATTAGTTTGTAGGTGATATGCAGTAGCAATCTTATGGTGCATGTTATACTTTTTAAGCAAATTACTTACTGCCTTATTCAAAAAGTGCGTACCCTCATCACTAATCAAGCATCTAGGTGTACCATATCTAGTAAAAATAAACTTTGGCAAGAAGAGAGAAACTACCTTGGCATCGTTAGTAGGGGTGGCCAAAGCCTCGACCCATTTCGAGACATAATCAACAGCCAAGAGAATGTAATTCCTACCGAATGAATGTGGGAACGGAGCCATGAAGTCGATGCCCCAAACATCGAAAAGTTCAACTTCCAATATTGGGTTTAAGGGCATCTCATGCTTCCTTTTCAAGTTACCTGAACTTTGACAGCGGTCACATCCTTGAGTGAATATATGAGCATCTAAAAATAGAGACGGCCAAAAGAAACCACTTTGGAGGACCTTTGCTGCAATCTTACGTCCAGCAAAATTCCCACTATATTGTGATTTATGGCATGCCTCTAGAATCTCCTTCTGTTCGTGCTCAGCAACACACCTACGAAGAATATTGTCAGGTCCTAGTTTAAACAAGAAAGGTTCATCCCATCTATAAAACCTAACATCATGAAAGAACTTCTTTATCTGGTGCTTACTCAAATCATTAGGAATTATTTTTCTCACCAGATAGTTCGCATAGTCAGCATACCAAGGGACTTCAGAAATAGCTAAAAGATACTCATCCACAAAATGCTCTTTAATCTCACAACTATCATGCTGCAAAGAAGACTCTAGCCTAGATAGACGATCCGCTACTTGGTTTTCTATTCCTTTTCTATCTTTTATCTCTAAGTCAAGCTCTTGTAACAACAAGATCCATATAATCAACCTACAAGCTTTTTTTTAGCAAACAAGTATTTAAATGCAGAATTATCGGTAAACACTATCACTTTAGTCCCAATCAAATATGAACGAAACTTATCAAATGCGAAAACAACAACCAAAAGTTCTTTCTCAGTCACAGTATAGTTCAACTGACTACTATTCAAAGTTTTACTTGCATAATAAACAGGATGAAGAATTTTACCTTTTCGTTGACCCAACATCACACCTATAGAAAAATCACTTGCATCACACATTAGTTCAAATGACAAGTTCCAATCTGATTCAATTATGATAGGTGTTGAGCTAAGTGCATTCTTAAGTGTCTCAAAAGCTTTCAAACAATGCTCATAAAAAACAAAGGGTCGATCCACTTCCAACAACTGACACCAAGGTTTAGAAATTTTCGCAAAATCTTTTATAAAACGGCGGTAGAAACCCACGTGTCCTAAGAAACTTCTAACACCTTTTACAGTTGTAGAAGGGGGTAGTTTAGCAATCACATCTGTTTTAGCCCTATCGACCTCAATTCCTTTTTCTGAAATTCTGTGACCTAAGACTATATCTTCACGTACGATAAAATGACCCTTCTCCCAATTAAGGACAAGGTTAGTCTCTTCACACCTTTTTAAAACATTCTCTAAGTTCTCTAAACAAACATCAAACGACTCACCAAACACAGAAAAATCATCCATGAAAATCTCTACCGTGCTTTCTATCATGTCTGAAAAAATAGCGGTCATGCATCTCTAGAAGGTAGCGTGAGCATTACAAAGACCGAATGGCATTCTCCAGAACGCAAATGTCCCATAGAGACACGTGAACGTGGTCTTTTCTTGGTCCTCCGGAGCTATAGTAATCTGGTTGTAACCAGAAATACCCATCGAGGAAACAATAGCATTCCTTCCCTGCAAGACGATTAAGCATTTGGTCAATAAAAGTTAATGGAAAATGGTCTTTTCGAGTTACCTTTTTTAACCGACGATAGTCCATACACACTCTCCAACCAGTCACTGTTCTAGTTGGGATCAAATCGTTGTCGTTGTTTGTAATCACCATCATACCACCCTTCTTGGGAACGCATTGAACCGGGCTAACCCAGCTGCTATCCGAGATGGGCTAGATCACTCCAGCATCTAACCATTTTATGATTTCCTTTTTGACCACCACTTTCATTTTCGGGTTAAGCCTCCTTTGGCATTCGATAGAATTGGTGGCTCCTTCCTCCAGGATGATTTTGTGCATGCAAAATGTAGGGCTAATTCCTCTTATATCCGCTATGGTCCTTCAACTAGCCCTCTTGTACTTTGATAAAATCTGCAAAAGCAAAGATTCATGTTCATTAGACAAATATGAAGAAATGACAACGGGCAAAGTATCGTTTAAACCCAAATAAGCATACTTTAAATGAGAAGGTATGGGTTTCTTCTCCAATTCTGGAGGTTAAATGATGGAAGGTTGCAAGGCCTTCAAATCCGCTATTGTCGACTGCAAAAACTCAAAACGCTCAAATTGGGGCAAAATTGCGCCAGGCGCAATTTTGGATTCTTTTTATGCGGCCTCCAGATCTGCTTCTATGTCTTCCAACATCATTTGCTGGAGTTCCTCCATGATTGCTCCTATTGTAGAGCACTCCTCGACTTCATTCGGGACGCATCGCATCGAGGACATTGAAGGTTACTTGCTTATCATTGACCTTCATTGTGATCTCTCCTTTCCTGACATTGAAAATTGTATCTCCAGTTGCTAAAAATGGCCTCCCAAGAATGATCGGCATCTCAAGATCTGCTTCACAGTCCAAAATTATGAAATCGGCGGGAAAAATAAACTTATCAACTTTAACAAGCACATCTTCTATTTTTTCTTCCGGTTTCTTT